ACTACTACTACTACTACTACTACTACTACTACTACTACTACCACTCCTATTGCTGCTCCTCCTCCTCCTAATTATCGTCCTCCTGCCCACAACCGCACAACCTCGACCAAACCGTCCATCACCATCAGCTCACCTCGACCCATCTGCACCTGCGCCTGCATCTTCATCCACCAGACCCTGAGCCCGAGTCGGGCATCTATCAGCAGGCGGAAAAGGATCTGGAGAAGGATGTCCATGAGCGCGACGATGAGCATCAAGGGCATGAGGATCACGAGGGGGATCAAGAAGAGGAAGACAAAAGGGCTGTTGCAATAAGGAACCCTAAATCCGCCACTTTGCCACTGGGCACGGAGTGGGCGTGTCCTCAGATCCTTTGCCTAATCCCCTGAGCCTCAGCCCTCATTCATGAGGAAATTCTTAGCGGCCCGGACCCCGAAGTCCTAAATCTCTTGGGGCTTCCGGCGTGCCCCATGGGCTCCCCCGCATCTTCTCACGTGACGAGTTGGAACCCAGGAGGGCCCCAAGACGGGCCAAGAAGGTCCCAAGAGGCCGTTTCAGGCGGTCCAAGAGGGCCTCGAATCGCCGAAAAATCGGCCCAAGACGCCCAGGATGACCTCAAGACTGCCCAAGAGGCTTCCAAGACGCCCACAGAAGCCTCGAAGAGCACTCCGAAGAGGGCCCCCAGTAATTGATGCCCCGTCGGTTTTTGAAGGACTTTGGCGTTCTCGCCTTTTCGGCTTCCCGACCCTCCAAAACTGCCCAAGAGGCCCCCAAGGGCGCGACAAGCCTGCCCAAGAGGCCTCCAATAGGGCCCCAAAACGCCCCAAGAGGGTCCCAAGACGGCCTCAGTGGCTTCCTAGACGGCCCAAGAGGCCCCCAAGACGGCTCCTAGACGGGGCCCCAGACGGGGGACCCAAACTTACACTTCGAGCCGTCAGCCCCGAGAGGCCCCCAGGAGGCCCCAGGAGGCCCTTAAGAGGCCCCGAGAAGCCCCCAAGAGGCCCTCAGGAAGCCTCAAGAGGCCCCCAAGAGGTTCCAGAGAGGCACCGAAGAGGCCCCCCAGAGCCCCAAAACTGCCGCCAGGAGGCCCCCGAGAGAGCTCCGAAGAAAACCCAAGCAACATCCCTGAGAACTCTGGCCCACAATCCAAACACGGTGGCGGGATGGGCCGAAGGCCATTCAAACCTGCCTTTGTGTCTTGGAGCCCTGTTGGTGTCAAGGCTTTGGTACGACGTAAAAAGACGTATCAAAAGCGAACCTTAATGAATATTGCATTGCATTTCCAACCCTTCCTGGGGGTCCATTTGGTGCTCTTTTGGGCTGTCTTGGGGGCCCTCTTCTGCCGTTCTGGGGCCCTCTTAGGCCGCCTCGAGGGGCTTGGGCCGTCTTGGTGCCCTCTTGGGGCCCTCCGGGGCCTTGGGGCTCTCTTGGGAACCTTTTCGGAACCCTCTGGGGCCCCTCTTGGGCCGTTTTGGGGCTCGCCTGCACCGTCTTGGAGCCCTTTTGGGGCCGTCTTGGAGCGCACTTGGGGGCCTCTTAGGCCGTCCTGGGGCGATCGTGGGGGGCCTCGTGGGCCGTCTTTGACGCTGTCAAGGCCAAAGAAGCTGATATGCTGAAATTGAATGTTTTCCGACGGGAATGGGGGCGATGTTTGCCTCTTAGAGGTCCCCTTTGGGGGGCGTCTTGGGGGCCTCTTAGGCTGCCTTGGAGCCATATTGGGCCCTCTTGAGCGCTCATGGGCAGTCATGGGGCCCTCTTGCCGTCTTGGAGGTATCGTGGGCGCTCTTGGGGTTGTCTTGGGACGTTTTGGGGGCCTCTTAGGCACTCTTCGGGCCGACTTGTACCGTCGTGGTGGTCTGAAAATGTTAGAAAGTTATGCTAATAGATCTGACCGTCGGGCTGCCTACCCGTCAACAAACACACCCCGTATTATTTCTCCCGGCTAACGGATCGCGACGCTACGCGCACTTTCCGTCATCCGCCGCCCCCCCTGCGGTCTTGCCACAGGGGTGCCCAGCGTGCTCGATCCTACTGGTAGGGAGAGCGCGCTTCACGGGCGCTTGCCTTGGGAACACTCGGCGGCGCGTTTCGAACCGGGGGGAGGGGGGTTCGAACCCCCCCTCCATCCAGGGTGGGGGGGGTCCCGTTCCAGACCCCCCCCCGCTCCAAGCGACCACGGGAACGCGCTCCCCCTACTGGTTTGGTGCTGGGTCTTTTCCCAGAGAGCTCTCCCCATGGGGCCTCGACCCGTCCCCCCCGGCCACAAGAGGAAGGCCCCGCTGCCGGAATTCTCCCGTTCCGGGTGGCTCCAAGAGGACCCACGATGGCCTCCCGCCAGACGGCCAAGACGGCCTCCGAGTCCGCCCAGGATGGTCCAAGATGGCCTCAGCCCGAGAGAGTCCAAGATGCCTCGAAGTCCACCCAAGAAGCCTCCAAGACGGCCTCAGACGGCCCCAGACGCCTCCAAGAGGCCTCCACGACGGCCCAAGAGTCATCCAAGAAGGCTCGAAGAGGCCAAAATCATTGATTAGGTTTTGAAGGATTGCGGCATTTGCTACTGTTCGGCCTCCCGACGGCCTCAGACGGCCAAAGAGCCCCCAAAGATCACCCAAAGATCTCCCAAGAGGCCTCCAAGATGGCCCCAGAAGGCCCAAAAGGCCCCCAAGACGGCCCCAAGAGGGCCCCAAGACGGCCCCAAGCGACCCCAAGAGGCCCCCAAGACGCCCTAGATGGCCTTGGAGCGCCCCAAGAGAGCCCCAAGTCGGCCCAGAGAGGCCCCCAAGACGGCTTCCGACGGCATCAAACGGGCGAGACTGCCAAAGAGGCCCCCGAGAAGACCCCAAAGGTCCCGAAGAGTCCCAAATGCCCCCAAGATGCCTCCAAGAGGCTCCCAGGAAGCTCCCAGGAGGCCCCAAGAGTGCCCCCAGAGGCTCCCAAGATGCCCCCTCCTCCTCAGGTCCTTGACCTAATCCCTTCATCCTTTGAGGATCCGTTTTGGGCCCGACCCTAAATTCCTAGATCTCCCCTCGCGTGCCACCCTGGGGCGCGTCGCGTCTTGTCGCATGAACTTATCAGGCCCAAGAGGGCCCCAAGACGGACCAAGAGCGCCTCAAGAGGCCCCCAAGACGATCCAAGAAGGTCCGGATCGCCGCACGATCGGTCCAAGACGGCCCAAGAAGCCTGCGAGGCGCCCAAAGAAAGCCCACAGAGCCTTCCCAAAAGGGCCCCGACAGGCTAGAATCATTGATCATCCCAGGGTTATTCAATGTTGTTTGGGGTCCTCGAGTATTCAGGCTGCCGACGCTCCAAGAGGCCCAGAAGGCCGCCCCAAGACCACCCAAGAAGCCCCCCAAAGGGCCTCAAGACGGCCCAAGAGGGCTCCAGGACAACCCCAAAGGCGACCAAGACGGCCCAAGAGACCCAAGAGCGAAAACACGAACCGAACATCTGAGTCTTCTGCCCCAAAAGACCCCCAGGAGGCCCAAAGGAAGCCCCAAAGGGCCCCCAAGAGGCCTCAAGAGGTCTCCAAGATGCCCCAAGATGTTCCGAAACGGCCCCCAAGAGGCCTCAAAACGGCCCCTAAGAGGCCCCCAAGAGGTCTTCGAAGGCTTCGGAAGATATCCCATGTGTATATGTAAATGTATGTGTGTATGTGTATGTGTATGTCTATGTCTATGTCTATGTAAATGTGGTGGTATGTGTGTGTAAACCTATAGGAATAGGTGTATGCGTATGTACATGTATGCGTTATTGTGTATGTGTATGGATGTATATATGCCTGTGCATGTGGAAATTCACATGCAATTGCATACGTAAATGTATCATGCTATTGATCGGGGTACGAACATATATGTGTATGTGTATGGATACGTGTGTAAATGTAAGTGTAGGCGTAAAAAGTGTGAAAAGATGTGTGCTCATGGATAAGTAGTTGTAGATCTAGGTGTGCATATACATGTATATGTAGATATACATGTGTATGATTACGCATCGTACGTGTATATATGTATGTGCATGTTGTTGTATATGTACATGTATATGTATATGTGTGGATGTGCATCAAGATGTGTGGATGTGGATGTGGATGGAAACGTGTATGACCATGTGTGTACATATATAGATATGCAAATGTATGCATGTGTACCTATCTTATGTGTAAATGTATGCTTCTGCATGTATATGTATATATGCATATGCACATACGCATACGTGTAGATGCAGTGGTGTATGCGTGCATGTGCCTGTAAAAGTGCTTGGTTTTGTACAGTCGACTCGTATGTACACGAATATGTGTATGATTACGTGTGTGTTATATGTACATATGACAGACACACATGTAATCATCACATTGCGAGTGAGCACCTTTTTCAAAAAGCCAAGCGCTCCTCATGACAACAGATCAATCACTATGCACCTTGCTTGAACCCGATTTGCAGACGTATCCACGGCTGGCGAGACCAGGGGCCATGCTCCACAGCCAATCGCACGCAATTTGCGCGGGTGTCTGGATGAATACAAAAGCAGCGGCCGAGGCCACCAAAGCCGTCACGTAGCACTGCGGGAGCGAGGCAGCTCGTGCGCGCTCCCAGAAGCGAGTGTCCAAGCCCGTCCAAAACAGGCTTATGACCTTATCCCCGACCACACACACCCCGAAGCCAAGCTTGGCCCAAGATCCCAAGACCGCCCGCAGGATTGGTGCGGCCCGGAACACCACGGAGAAGCCACTGGCTCCCACGTCCAAGCATCCCACCATGCCGATGGTGTACAGGCAGCTCCACGAGAGCGCCACCATCCAGCAGGCCGTGCGCCTGGCTCCCGGAGCCATGTTGCCTGTGCCATTCGAGCAAAGCGCACACCACTGAAACCACAAAGCCGCACCCGCTGCAAGAATGCCAGCTGAAGCGAGCACATACCAGCGGCGACCGCAGCATGCAGTGCGCCAAGCCGACGCCGAGATATAGGCAGTGACGATAATCGGAAACGCTTTGGCTGGAGTGTCCCATTCCTCACGGTCGGCATCTGCACCACCGAGAACGATGCTCCGCACTTCAGCCAGGACGATACCACCCAGCATCAGCCAGCCGACAACGCCCACCCTTCTGCTCGGCGGCGAGCCAGGGGGGGGAAGTGAGAAAGAGCGGGCGGGCCTTCTCAGAAGGCTTGGAAATCCCCGACCTTCTGAGAATTCTCTTAAGCCTTCCCCGAAGAAACAAAACCTGATCAGAATGCGCGAGGGCTTTTGAGAAGTCCCGCCGCCTTCTGAGAAGGCCTTCTCCCTCTCACCTCCCCCCCTCGCGCGCCGCCGACCTGCACACCATGACCAGCACCCACGCAGTGCTCTCGGCCCGGAAGAACCACATGTTCACGCTGACCTTCATGGGATACTCGCCGACACTGAACCAAAGCGATGGTGGAACAAACAGCTCGGAGAGAAAGCCCCAGCCAGACTCCTCGTAATGGCGAGTCGCCATACTTGCAGTCTCGTCCAGGAGGTGTGCTTTGTGCCGCAGAGGCCTGGGTACCAACCACGGCCTTCCTGTCAATGAGAGGCTGAAGAGCCCACGCACACAAAATAACCAGAGCAAGCAAACGACTGCTCGCAATGGCAACTGACGGGCAAACCGGCGGCCGATACGCGCAAGAACACCGCAAGGTGCCCCCTGCAATCGAACCGAAAGGGCTAACGCCAACAAGTTCCCTGAAATGTGATATTCCTGAAGGACTGGCACATTCTGCAGATGTGCGCAGACCACTAGGACTGTCATCACAACACGCCACACGTCGAGGATAATCGAGGCGCTGCCATCGCTGCTAAACAAAGCGGTTGAAGCTCGTGGTAATGATGCGAGACCTGGTAATGCACAAAAAACAACGACTATCCCCACGAAAGACGGCATGCGGCTCCAATCGCAAGATGCCGGTTCGGAGTCTCCAGCAGCTACGCATATAGGTCTCGTCTCCTGGGCGTGCACGATATCAATGGAGAGAAGGTCCAAGTCTGCTGCTTGGCCCAGAGATTGAGCGCGACGCCAAGTGGAAGGGAGCTCACGAACCCAAAGCCCCACCCAATCGTACGCAATAGCATTCCATAGCGGAGCCCACGTTCGAGCCAAAATTCGAGCTCTGTTATACGCTAACGCTGGCGGCCCCGCAACGCAGGCCCACTGATGGAAGAACACGGACCCACCGTCAGGCTCGATCACGATGCTAGCCACATGCAGTGCGGCGTCAGCCTGAGATGTTGAATTGAAGCGCCTCCGAATGCCAACAGTGCCAGTGAGCTCCTGAGGGATCCACAACAAAAGGTGGCCACTCTCCACTACGTGCCAGTGAGGATCAACAATAGGATCGAAAGGATGAATCGCATGGAACCACCAAGCATCGCCTCTGGGAAAACCCTCCAAAGATCCGACAATGGCATACGCTTCATAAGCTTCTGGGCAACCGCCTGGCAACCGGTCGGAAGGCAATTGATCACCGTCCCCTTGAATTGGTGCGAACATCCATCCTGGAACTGAAAGCTTCAGTGCGTGCCCGATGCAGCAGCGCTCGAACGTGAGCCCGTGCGTCCAGCACTGGGTGTTGCCAGGGGGCAGCATCTCCACAAACCCAGCCGCGATCTCTACTGTGCAGCAGGCATGCCAGTTGCGATGGCCTCCCCAACAGGAAGGATCGGGACCCTGGAAATACACAACCTTATGCGCAAGCATATGATCCGCCAGTGTCTGCTGCGCGTGTGCGCGTGACGAGCCCCTGGCCTTCTCTCGGTCTCGCCATTCGCGAGGCGTCAGCCTGGGCTCCCAACAGCGCCGAGGCCAACATTTTGGGTGACCTAGTGTACTGCACACCTCGAATGTATTGCAACCCCACAAATCTATTGCACCAAATCTATTGCACCACCCCCTTGTCGCTGGACCCCCTTTTGGGTCAACCCGAAACATGTGCCAGCGGGCTGCCCCGAGTCTACGACTCCACGGCGCTCCGGCGGCTCCGTGGCCCCGGCGCGCGGGCGCCACGCCCACGGGTCGGGGAAGGCACCCCCCCGAGACCCGAGGCCGGTGCGGCCTGATGCGGCGACGGGGCGCGCCGATCCCACACGGAAACGGGACCCGTCGCCAGTCGGCGCGCCCTCATCCACGCTCGCGCTCCGGCAGAAAGAATGGTGCCCCAGCCGCCCCCCCCCCCCACTGGCAGACGCGCCCTCATCCACGTTCGCGCAACGGGCAACGGCAGAAAGAACGATGCCCCAGCCGCCCCCCCCCCCACACTGGCAACCCCTCCCCCCCACAACAGCGCGCGCGGCGGATGCGCGCGGCAGCGCAGGTGGATTGGCATGAGGCGACGTTGCCGCACCTCTGAGCGTGTAGAACTCCTCACAGCCTCGCGGGCTGTGCCTGCAGCTCCAGGACGGGATCTCCGGTGCGAGCTCGGCAGTGGAACGGCCAAGCGTTGCCAGTGCGATGCAAGACCACAGGCCCGAGAAGCTGCCGCAGCCCTCGTACAAGCGCCCCACCTTCGGACACTTGCCGGCTCTTTGTCTGGAACCCATGGTTGCAAGAGCGCAGCGGCGTGAACCAACGTTGAGTTGGATATATTAAATGTGGCCACACCTGGTCGAGCCAAAATGGCTACGGATGTAGTGTAACTAATAAGACTTTGCGTGCTGCTTGACATGCGCCCTCCCACTATTACCAAGCCCGATGTGATGCGAGCCTCAGCATAACAGACAACACAACGACGACAGGCAGAATGGCTGTATCTCAATATCGCGTACGCATATGACCACACTCTCGAGCTGAAGCCACAAAGGGGTGTTTTTCCCCGCCCAAGGATCATCGCGAGCCCACGTGTTCGATGGATCGTGTCCAAGACTTGGGATCTCGTGCGCGCGCTCCCGCGCACCAGTGGAGGCAGAAAAAACTGCATAAACATAAACTTCCGAGGTCCGCGCAGACTCCCTGGATCGGCGCCGGCGGCGCGCGCCAGGGGCGCGACGCCCGAGACGCCGCGAGGAGGGCCCAGCGCCAATCCGAGAAATCTGCACGGAGCTCCGAAAGATTACAGTCGAGGCGTTGACCTAAGGAACCCTAAATAAGGAACGAGGCCCCTATGTTCCATAAGTTGAACTTCGATTCCCGATCGAAAACATAAGGAAAGCCTGAGGCAAGCTGTGAAACACTTGAGGAACGCGGAGCCCCTCCCCAACGAAAAGGGTTCCTTCTTCAGGGCCCCGAGCATGCTCATGCAATTCTTACTTCCTCGAGCATCACCGTGATGTTTTTTCCGGGGCGGGGGGCATCGACCTGGAATCGGCGATGCCTCGCCGACAGATCGGCGACAAGCCCCCAATAGCGAAACCACACGTCCCCGGGCGGGGCTGGGGCTGCCGGTCCCCTGCCGGCGATGACTGGGCGATTGGGGGCCGATGCAGCCCGCCCTCTGAGCTCATCCCCCCCCCGCAACGTTGCCCCTGAGCACGGCCGTGATGTTTTTTGTCCGCGGCGCCGAAGGTCGAGGTCACTGCGCACCCTTCCCCTTCAGCTTCCGCCCCTTCGCCTTCCGCGCGGTGGCGCTCTTCAGGGCAGCATCGAGCGCATCGGCCTCCTGCGTCGCGGTGCCCTTCTCCTGCGCCAGGGCTGACAGGGAGGGGGGGCGCCAAAGGCCGAGGGGTACGCGTCCCTCACGCCGCCGCTCCCTCCTTTCCTCCATCCCTCGTCACGGTGATCTTCTTAGTCATCACGCTCATCATCACCATTACCCTCACCCTCACCATCCTCCTCATTATCACCCTCACCGTCGTCATGGCCGTTACCTAGCGTCGGCATCGCCATCATGAACATCAGGATATCAACACCCCCACAACTATCATCAGCATCATCAGCATCATCGTCATCAGCAGCATCATCATCATCATCATCATCATCATCATCATCATCATCATCATCATCATCATCATCATGCTCATCATCAGCTTCATCATCATCATCATCATCATCATCATCATCATCAGCATCATCATCAGCATCAGCATCATCATCATCATCATCATCAGCAGCAGCAGCATCAGCATCAGAATCATCATCAACAACAGCAGCATCAGCATCAGCATCAGCATCACCATCAGCATCATCATAATGAGCACCATCCTCATCAGCAGCAGCACCATCAACATCAGCATCATCATCAGCATCATCAGCATCAACATCGTCATCATCATCAGCATCATCATCAGCATCATCCTCATCATCAGCATCATCATCATCAGCATCATCATCAACAGCAGCATCATCACCATCATCATCAGCATCACCATCATCATCAGCATCATCATCATCATCATCATCATCATCATCAAAATCGTCAACATCGTCGTCATCATCATCATCAGCAGCATCATCATCATCATCATCATCATCATCATCATCATCATCATCATCATGCTCATCATCATCCTCCTCATCATCATTGTCATCATCATCATCATCATCATCATCATCATCATCCGAGTCATCCGAGTCATCCGAGTCATCCGAGTCATCCGAGTCATCATCATCATCAGCATCATCAGCATCATCAGCATCATCATCGATCATCAGCATCATCATCATCATCATCATCATCATCATCATCACC